GTATAACTGACTGTTGCGAATTTTGATATTTCTCGACCTGATTTATTTCGGTTTTTTTTTTTTTTTTTTTTCTTTTCTTTTTTTTTTTTCTTGTTCTTTTTGTTTTTTTTTTTTTTTTTTTTTTTTTTTTTTTCGTGTCTTGTTGCTAGTTATTGTTAATAATATTGTTGTAGTTATTATGATCATCTTTTTATTATTGATGTTATTAGTGTTATTATCTTATCATCATTATTATTATTGTTATTATATTATTATTGTTATTATTATTATTATTATTATTATCTTTATCATTATCCTCCTACTCCTCCGACTTTTCCTCTTCCTTCTCTTCCTCCTACTCCTCTTCATCCTCCTCTTCCCCCTCTTCCCTTTCTTCTCCCATTTCCTCCTTCCTCCTTCCTTTTTATTCTTAGTCTTCCATCTCAACCTCCGTCTCTCCCTCTCCCATTCCCTCTCTGTCAAACAAACAAACACAAACAAAGACACACACAAAGATACAAACAAACAAACAAACAAACGAAGTAGTTGCTTGGAAGGCGAGGAAAGCATTTGTTGACCCGGAGGTGATGGAGGGAGGAGGGGGGGGAGGGGGAGGGGGGAAGGGGTCGCCACCACACACACCACACGTCGGGGGCGCTTTTGCGTGCGCGCGCGTGCGTAGGTCATTGGTGGAGGGGGAGAGGGGGAGGAGGAGGAGGGAGGAGGAGGGGGAGAGGGGGAGGAGGAGGGGGAGGAGGGAGGAGGGAGGAGGAGGAGGAGGGAGGAGGAGGGGGAGGGGGGGAGGAAGGAGGAGGAGGGGGAGGAGGGGGAGGAGGGAGGAGGGGGAGGAAGAGGGGGAGGAGGAGGGAGGGAGGAGGGAAGGGGGGAGAGGGGGGAGGAGGGGGAGGAGGGAGGGAAGGGAGGGGGAGAGGGGGAGGAGGAGGAGGAGGAAGGGGGGAGGAGGAAGGGGGAGGGGGAGGAGGAGGAGGAAGGGGAGGAGGAGGGGGGAAGGGAGGGGACAGGGAAAGGGGGTAGAGAAGTAGGAGGAGAAAGAGAATGGGAGGCGAAGAAGATGGGTAAGAGATAGATAGATGGAGTAGATAGATAGGAAGTAGATCGATACAGATATAGATAGACCGATAGATAGAACGGAGGTAGAAAGAAAAGAGAGAGAGAAAAAAAACGAGAAGAGAAGAGAAATAGCGAGGGAAAAGAGAGAGAGAGAACTAGAGACAGAAAAATAACTAGAGACAGAAAAAAAGGAATTAGAAGGAAAGAAAGAGAAGAGAAAGAGAACTCAGAAAACGCAAGGAAATTTCTGTTGTTTCCATATTCATATTTCGTCTTCTCCTTTGAGGTGAGAAAAGAGAGCTGCGAGAGGAAGAGGAGGTGGAGGAAGAGGAAGAAGAGGAGAAGATTAGAGGGAAGAGGAGGAAGAAGAAGAGTAGGAAGAAGTGGGGGAAGAGGAGAAGTTAGAGGAGTAGGAGGAAAGAAGAAGTACGAAGAGAGGAGGAAAAGTGGGGGAAAGAAGAGAAGGAGACAGGAGGAAGGAAGAAGAAAGAAGTGGAGAAGGGAGAGGAGAGATGGGAAAGGGAAGGGAAGAGAGAACAGTAGGAGAAGAAGGGAGAGGGAGAAGAGGGAAAAGGAAGAGGAGGAGATGGTAAATGGAAGGGAAAAGGGAGAGTAGGAAGAAGTGTAGGTGGAAAGAGGAGATCGAAAAGAAAAGGGGCAAGAGGAAGAGAAGAGAAGAAAGATAAGGAGGAAGAAGAAGGGAGAGGAGGATAAGACGATAGAGAATAAGTAAGAAATGAAATATATTGATAAAGAAAAGGATAGTAGGGGGATAGGGTGTTGGGGGGGGGGGGTAGACAAGGGGTTGGGGGAGAAGCGTATTTTTGGAAGGTTACTTTGAAGGGGTGCCAAGGGGTGCCAAGGGGGCAAGCAAGGGGGGAGGAGGGGGGAGGGGGGAGGGGGTCAGATGGGGTGTGGGTAGGCTTTCTATTGTTTCTGATGGATCATATCTCCTTTTTTTTCCTTCCTTCTTTCCTCTTTTTTGTTATCACTCTCTATCTTTCTTTTTTTCTTCTTCCTCAACTCCTCTATGCTCTAGTCTCTATCTATATATCCTCTCTTCTGTTTGTTTCTCTGTCTTTCTCAGTCTGTCTTTCTCTCCTCTCTCTCCTCATCCTCATCTCTCTCTCGTCTACTCACATCTCCTCGATCTCTCTCTCGTTTCCTTCTTCTTCTCTNTCTTCGTCTCTCTCGCTCTCTCTCTTCAGCCTCTCACCTTCTCTCTCCTCATCCCGTCTCTCTCTCCAGTCACGGATAGAGGCCGGTCCCCTCGCGCTCCTCCCCTCTCTTAACCTCGCGTCCTACTCCCTCCGGTTGTGCGTCTCGCCTGCCGACCCCTCGCGGCTGTGCACTCCCTGCTCCTCAGGGGGCCCTCCCGCTCGCGGAGCTCCCTACCTCCGGGCGCTCCGCTGCTCGTGCTTGACGTCTCCTCTCCTCCCTAGTCGTCGCCATCGGAGCCGCTCCATCGTGCCTCCCGTCCCCGGGTCCGTCTCTCCGTCTCTCTCTCTCTTCTCCGTCTCTTTCATGTCTCTCGGGGGTCACTCTCTCTATCTATCTATCTATCTATCTCTATTCTTTTCTCCCTCTCTCCTCCCTCACTGCTAATAATAGTAAAAGGAACAAAATCAAAAATAGAATAGTAATTTTAAATCATACTGTGTTCTCTCGTCGCTTCATCTCGTCCAGTCTCCGATCTCGCGACACCTCTAGTCTCCGACTCCTCGTCCTCATCTCTCTCTCTTCTCTCTGCTCTTCTCTCTCCTCTCGTCTATCGTCTCTGCTCTCTCTCTCTCTCTCTGTAAATGATAGTAAAACAGAAACCAAAATCAAAAGGTAATAGTAATCTTTACCATGACGTAAACACAGGAAAAAAAGATTAACAAAAAGTACCAAAGACAGTAACTATAAATACCAATACCCTCACTATCATAACTATCTTTACACACTTTCACAGAGACACTCCGAAAGAATCCTTTCTCCATTCAGCCACCCTTGTTGCATCGACATTGCACCACACAACAATGTTCAAATGAAGCCTAAATGAGAGAGAGAGAGAGAGAGAGAGAGATCCCCCGCACTAGAGCAATGACCCCCCCTCCCCTCCCTCCCCCTCCTCTCCCTCTTCCTCTACCCCCTCCCCCCTCCCCTCTCTCCCTCTACCCCTCTACCCCCCTCTCTCCTCCCCCCTCCTCTCCTGTACCCCCTACCCTCTCTCCTCCCCCCTCCTCCCCTCCCCCTTCCCTACCCTCTCTCTCCTCCCCGTCCTCTTTCGTGAATATGTCTATGAGTATTATAGATATATCTTATTATGTTATACTGATTATCTTTTTTTTAGTCTTTTTTTGTTGGGTATTAGATTTTGTTATGTAGGTATGTTTGTATTTTTTTTAATTCTTTTTTGTTTGTTTTGGTATTAAATTTTGTTATGTAGGTATGTTTGTATTATTTTTTATTCTTTTTTTGTTTGTTTTCGTATTAAATTTCGCTATGTAGGTATGTTTATGTGTGTCTATTGTATGTGTTATTTTGCGTATTGGATTTCGCTGTGTAGGTATGTTTACGTGTGTCTATTGTATGTGTTATGTACTGTGTGAATTTGCAGGTGTTATATTGTATAAATTATTATGTGGGAATTATCAAGGGAAAATGATGAAAAATAATATACATCAATTGATTCACAGTATTTATTAATAGTTATAATGGGGACAAATGTAGTGGTGATGATGATGATGTTGGTGATGATGATGGTGATGATAACAAGGGTCATTTTCATCCTCATTGCAGTTAGCTATTCTAGAAACTATCTTCATTTCTCATAATAATAATAATAATAATGATGATAATAATAATGATAACAGTATTGATAATGATAATAGTAATAATAATAATAATGATGAAAATACAATTGATAATAATGAAACAAACATAATAATGATAGTAATCATAATACCAATAACAGTAATGATAATATTACTACTAATGATAATGATAATAATGGTAAATATGATAATGATAACAGTAGTAATAATAATAATGGCAATAATGACAATAATAATAAAACAACAATTATAATGATAATCATAATAATAATGATAAAAATTACTACTATTATCATCCTTATAATAATAATAACAATAATAATAGTGATAATAATAACACCAATAATAATAATTATGATAATAAAGATAGTGATAACAATAAAAACATGGTAACAATCTTAATCCTAAGATTTATAAAAATAACGAAAATAATAATAATCATTAATATAATGACTATTACAATGGTGACAATAATGACAACAACAACAAAACAACAACAACAATAACAAGTCATGATAACTGAATCCTTTATGACAATTATCATCTTGATCAAAATATAATACAGGCTAATGACTCATAAACAAAACGAAAAAAACGAACACAAACACATTTAGATTAATGAAAAGGACAAAAATATATACATATATTTGAAACTTATAAAATAAGGATGCATTCTTTCTCCTAATATAATGTACTGAGTGAACGATAGACAAAAAAAGAAAAAAAGAAAAATGAAAAAAAAAACATAACTTATTGAATGGAATACAAAAGTCTCCCTTGGAATCACTGGTTTTCTTTCACTATTTGTAAGATTTTTAAAAGTCTTTTTCTCTCTCCTTTTTTCATATATTGTCTTTTCTCTCTTCTTTTTTTCATCTACTTTCTTTGTCTCTTTTCATCATCTGCTGTCACTTCCCCTCTTTCTTTTTCTCTCCTTGTTATGTCTTTTCTCCCTCCATTTTTTCATCTATAGGTTTTCTCTCTCTATCTATCATCTACCGTCATTTCTCTCCTTTCTTCATCTACTGTCTTTTTTTCCCTCTCTTTTCTTTCATCTAAAAATAATTGCCCTTTCTCTCTCTTCTTTCCATCACTGTCTTTCTCCTCTTCCTCTTTCCCTTCCTCCATTCACTACACTTTCTTCAACAGCCTTTCAAACCTCCTGAAGGCAACCTCAACGACCTCCCACTTCCACAGGAGAAGGACTAGAGCGAGGACCTGCGCCAGGAAGGGCCCCAGGAACAGACCCCACTGTGCGAGCTTCTTGTTATACATAGCTATCTGAGGAAGGGACAACAACAGCCAGAAAAAGGTATTCACCATCATCAGACCTCGTTTCCTAGTCATGGAGAGCGCGTATAAAAATGCTATTGGGATCGGATAGAATAACATTCTGGGCCAGGACATGATTTTGTTTCCGTCGACGTACATTTTGAGACTCATGATGTAATTGGTAATTAGGATGAATGCGGAGCCTCCTGCCATCCAGCTTACTTTGTACACGTTTCCCACCATTGCTAGAGAAACCACGCGGCCACCTGGAAAGAGAGAAGGGAATGAGAAGAGAAGATATCTATTGTGCTCTAAATCGATGTTACATTCTTCAACTGTTTTGATATGTTTCGATCTGTTTTGACTTTGAAAAATCATGATGGCAATAAAAAGAATATGAAATAGATAACAGAAGCGGTATGTAAACATCACAATCGCTCCTTGAATCCTTAAATCCGGGTTGAGTCACGGTTTAGCGCGCCGAAGAAAAAAAACAAACAATACCCAAGAAAAAATGTTTACAAAAAATGACAAATAAATAAATATACACATAAATAAAAAAAAAAAAAAAAAAAAAAAATTACCCAATTCGCATCGATGGGATAACAATCACCAGAAAATCAGTGATCTTGAGTTTGTCATGTTCTTCTTCGAAATATTCCTTCCTGATGTAACAGACGACGGAACACACGGCCATTGACACGCAAAGAGACGCCAAGGCAAATATCAGATAGACTGTGACAAAGAGAGAAAGAGATGGGAATTAATAAAACTTTCAATGTAATTAATAAATATAATGCATATAAAAAGAGGAAGAGGAGGAGGATAATAACATTTGATTATAATAATAATAAATAATAATAATAATAAGATAATAATAATAATGATAATAATAATAAGAAGAAGGGCAGCAACACCAAATATAAATGTATTTATGATAATAGTAGACGATAATATTGATAACAAAAATAATAATGATAACAATGATGATGGTAGTAGTAATACCAGTAATAATAATAATGATCTTGACAATGATGATAACGATGATAATGATAATGGTGAAGATGATGAGAATAAGTATAATAACAATAACAACAACAATAATAATAACATAATAATAATAAGGTGATGTAGAAGAAATAACAATAACAGAAACAAAACTACAACAATAAGAACACTAATAATAATTTTACTATTATTATTACTTCTACTAATAATAATGATAATGACAATGATAATGAATAATAAAATAATTAATAGTAATAGTAAAAACAATAATAGTAGCAATTACAACAACAAAAATAATATCAATAACAACAATAATAATAATATGATGATAATTTCAGGATGAAGAGAGAGGGGAGTGAAAGAGAGAGAGAGAGAGAGAGAGAGAGAGAGAGAGAGAGAGAGAGAGAGAGAGAGAGAGAGAGAGAGAGAGAGAGAGAGAGAGAGAGAGAGAGAGAGAGTTAGAGATAGACATACACATAGACACAGATAAAAAAAAAAAACATAGACAGACATACAAATAGACAGACATATAAGAGGGAAATGTGTATAGAAATATGGAGATAAAATGCATACTGAACAGTCATTAAAGAAAATATGTACTTACAATCCAAAGAGTCAATAGTACTGTCCCACCAAAAATGGAGGATGAGATATGTCTGAAAAACAACATAGTGTTCGTGTGATTATAAGTCTCATAATGGCATGGTTTTATTAAAATGGATATTAGCTAATTCTAGTGGAGTTGAATCTTCATAAAACACGAATTAAAGAGAAATTCAATCAGTTTTATCATTTAATTTCTCCATGAAAGTTGATATTAATTTTCATGTAATTCTGTGGTCTTTGAAAACACGACTTTTCCTTGTTCAGAATTTAAATACAAAGTGATTTTTTTTCTTTTTAACTGAAGTATCGCTTAAGGCAAATCGCCCAAATCGTTAAAATTTATTTTCGTGCATATCTTAAGCAGGAATTAAAATAAAACAAAAACACATAAGATAAACCACAATTTGTTTTTATTAAACTAATATAGTTCTAATAATACAATAAAGTGACTTTTCTTTTTACCTGAAGCAGCAATTTAAAAAAAAAACATAAAATAAACCACAATTTGTTTTTATTAAACGGATTTAGTTCTAATAATACAGTAAAGTGACTTTTCTTTTTACCTGAAGTATCGCCTGAGGCAGATCGCCCAAAGTACACTGGAAAAGCTTCATCACAGACACCCAGTACTCTGCACTCCAGCTGGTAGGTGACTTCAGCCACTCCAGGTGCCTGAAAAATTACGTTTTGTGATTTGGTGGTGAAGATGATGCTTTGTTGGAGTGACGGCCGGTGTGGAGTATGGTTTGGCCTCCTTAGTGTCTGTGAAGTGGAGTTGTCTTAGCAAGAATATAGACACTGTCTCTGTCTGTCTCTGTTTCTGTTTCTGTCTCTATCTCTGTCTCTCTGTTCTGTTTCTGTCTCTCTCTGTCTCTCCTCTCTCTCTCTTCTCTTTCTCTCTCTCTCTCTCTCTCTCTCTCTCTCTCTCTCTCTCTCTCTCTCTCTCTCTCTCTCTCTCTCTCTCTCTCTCTCTCTCTCTCTCTCCTTCTCTCCTTCTCCTCTCTTCTCCTTCTCCTTCTCCTTCTCCTTCTCCTTCTCCTTCTCCTTCTCCTCTCCCTCTCCCTCTCCCTCTCCCTCTTCTCCTCCTCTCCCTCTCTCCTCTCCCTCTCCCTCTCCCTCTCCCTCTCCCTCTTCTCCCTGTCCTTCTCCCTCTCCTTTTCCCCTTCTTCTTCTAGCTTCTTCTAGGGTGAGAGAGAGAAATTCTAAAATGTTAAATGTATTTTTATCATCGCTTGTTTTTAATATAAGCTTCTTGATGCTCCAGACATTTCCCAATTCACATACACTTCTTATCTATCTCCCCAAAAATAGAAATATCTATAAACATAGGCATAGAAAAAGGGGGGTGGCCAAGGGACGACCACCCGCCCCCCTCCCACTCTGGAATGGAAGGAGGGGGACCCAACTTCTGCCCCCCCCCCTCCCCCCCACACACACACTCCTCAACTTGCGAGGACATTCCCTGTAAATATACAATTAGTGCAATTCTTTAGTTACCCCTTGTTGGGAACACTGAGCCCATGCAGCTGAGATGGCAGATACAACTTAGTCTGATGATCAAGATGAAATAACCATTATGTTCAGTATTATCTAGATAAAAATGTCTTGATATTCTGTACCCCGCCATATCCACAAAACCTTATATTTTTTTTTTTTTGGGGGGGGGACCTTCTTTACCCCCCCCCATTTCAAAATACTTTCCTACGTCTATGTATAAAGAGGAGATAAAACTTTAAAAATCGTAGCGAAAGACAGGATGGCATCAACAACAATAGAAGAAAAAAATGAACATAAACTCACCAGGACAAAGTGCTGTAACCTGGGATTAAAATGCGCAATATAATCAACATTTTCTTGCAGTCTGACCTCTGCGGCTGTCTGTTGACTTCGTGTCTGTTTAGGAAAAGGGAGAGAAATAGTTAGTGTGTGTTTATTCTTACATAAAATTAATGTCCGCTTGTAGAATTTAATTATAACTTCTTTATTGCAAATGGAGGAATTAATAATCTTCTAAACACAGACGATCTGTAAGTATTGATAACATCCTGTACAGAATATTTGTAGCAAAAGAATTATTCGTTCTCTCTAAATTGTGGATCAACTTAAACTCATCAGTAACCATACAATAAATAGTTAATTAGGTATAAGTAACAAAGTACATCATTACCGAATAGATAGGAACAAATTTTAATTGTCAATTATTAACAGGTCGATAACAATTATTGCGATTACAGATATCAAATAGAACTTACACTAGCATTGTTAAAAAAAAAAAATGTTTAAATAATGTTATTGTTACTATAATGTTTATTATTACTAAGAATATCAGTCATAACAACTATCAATATCACCATTACTACTACAACTACTTTCAATTCCCAAACCCAAAACCAAACAAAAATATTAACCCAGCGTTCTCACGTCCAAAAAAAATCGAACCAGAATTTTAACCCAGCGCTCTCCCAGATCCACCAGCCACCTACCTCATGTAATCAAACCAGTTAGTGATCCACCCAGCGAGGCAAAAGATGGCTAAAGTGACGGATCCATACAGGACCGACTCTCCTCCCCTCATGAGGTGTAGGCTCGCGACGGATCCTGTGAGGATAACGTTGGATAACTGCGCCATTCCTCCGGCGAGTGGCTCCGTGCAGTCCAACATGGCGGCGGCAGAGAGGGCTGGTCACCGCTGCGAAAAATGATCGAACGAATGTAACTTGTGGTTTCTGTAGACCATGGATTATAGGTTTTATGATTTGTAAAGAACTTGAATTATGAATTTCATAACTTGTATAGACCTTAAATTACAACTATAACTTGTATAGACCATAAATTACAACTGTAACACATAAAGCCCTTGAAGTATAGTTCTATAACTTGTATAGACCAAAAAACGATAACTATATCTTGAACAGCTCTTGAATTATAACTAAATGACTTATGTAGACTTTGAATTACAACTTTTATAAAAAAAAACCTTGAAGTATAACTATCCTACTTGTATAGACCTTGAATTATAACTTTTGAGGTTGCATAAACCTTAAATTATAACTTTATAACTTATATTTGGATTACAACTTTATAACTTATGTCATTTCAATTACAACTACTTAACCTAGGGGTGACGTTTTAAATTTGCCGATAAAAGGTCGTAGCTCTTAGGTTTGGTCATTTTAAAAAAATGTCGTATCTTAAAATAATAGCAGTAAATTGCCTCTATTGTTAATTACCTCTAATTATTAATCATCAATTACCCATTAATTATTAATTACCTCTAGTGTTTTTACTTATTTGTAACTTCCTTTGCGCTTAACTGGAGATTTTTTGAGTTAATAGAAATTTGTTTGTCTTCCGTACATGTGGTATAGTTGCATGTATGTATGTGTATGTGTGTGTGAAGGGCGGAGTGTGGCAATATTTTCAGTTTGTTCCGTACAGAGGAACAATTTAAAAAATATGGGAGTATTTTTTGGATATATTAAAAATTTGTCAAATAGGAGAGATCGAGAGAGAAAAAAATTATAAAATTAAGGAAGGTGACTGAACGAAAGAGTAATATATGAGTAAGGGAAGAGAATAAAGTAACAAAAATAGATATGAGAAAACTGGTAGATACAGAAAATACAACATAAAGACTTAAAATATTTAGTCATTTCAAATCCAGCACTCGTGAAATATTTATGACACCTATCCATAAGTTTGTCATGTCTTTTTTTGATATGTCCGTTTTCTTTGTAAACAGGAACGTTTTAGAAAATTAAGGCTACTTAAAAACATGATTTGACACGATTCCAAGAAGATATTTCGCTGTCTCTTCAGAACTTCACATCCATCGCCTGGGTTATCAATGTTTATTTCAACAACCCATACCAGTTAATAAAAAAAAGGAAATTAACGTACGCGTGCAGTTTTTTTTTTTCTCTTCCTTCCATATATATTTAGATACAATTGCGAAATAATTCCTTAACATAATATATTAACCAAAGACGATAACATGTATACATTGTGTGTGTGTATGTGTGTGTGTATTTACATACGCACGCACGCACACGCAAAAACATACGTATATCCTATGTGTATGTGTGTGTATATATATATATATATATATATATATATATATATATATATATATATATATATTATATATATATATATATATATATGTGTGTGTGTGTGTGTGTGTGTGTGTGTGTGTGTGTGTGTGTGTGTGTGTGTGTGTGTGTGTGTGTGTGTGTGTGTGTGTGTGTGTGTGTGTGTGTGTGTGTGTGTGTGTGTGTATGTGGTGGTGTGTGTGTGTGTGTGTGTGTACATTTACATACATATATACATATATTCTTACCAAGCCTGTTGCACTTCTAAAATATCCTTTATTTTCACCACAATCCAAGTAATTCAAAACTGTAAACATGGCGCGATCCGATGCCAGTCCACTAAACAGCAAATAAATATACATTCACCATACCTTTTCGACTAAAAATTAAACAGAAATGAGAGATATACAATACCCATAGGTCAGCTTACCTCTTAATTACCTGTGAATGGTGTGACTATTGAATATATTCACTAAAAGCACTCGATATTTCCACGACCAATGCAATACAAGGTACTAATATTTTTGTAAACGAATTTGATGAGGAGATAACGGTTCAGAGAAACGGATAAGATACTTTTTTTATCAGATACCTTATCAGACTTAAGACTTTTTGCTATTGACTTTTATTATCTTTATCATCTTCACTATCATCATCATTATTATGGTTATCTGAATTTGTGTATCATTATTACATCTTTTATTGTAATTTCCACACGCATCATATGTGTATTTAAGCGTATGCAACAGGAACAACGGAGGGAAGAACAAGAAAACACGAATATTCTTGTGTTTTCTTGTTCTTCCTTTCGTTGTTCCTGTTCGTTCGTAGAATTCCACACATTAAACGTATGTAAACACCTAAAAAATGATATACGTACAAGTAGTATATCTAACCCAGTATAAAGATGAATAGATAAAGATATTAGGCAGAAACTGATAAGGATTTAGTGTGTGTGTGTGTGTGTGCGCGCGTGTGCGTGCCCGTAACGTGTGCGTGCGTGCGTGTATGTGCATGTGCATAGATGTAAGATATATTCAAATCGAAATTTTACATTACAACAAGTCATTATCATCAACTGATAATAGTTGAAAAGGAGGAAAAATCCGTCCACTTGAATTCAAATGACGCATTATTTTGACAATACTAACGGTCTTTTTTTATGTGTGCTGCACCTCTCATCAAGTTAAGTTTCTTGTGTGTATAGAAACACAAATTGAATGAATTGTACTTATGAAAGTTGCCTTGTAAGATCGTAGAATGACAAGGAGTCAAAAAAAAAAAAAATTAATCTGAAATAATGAAAACGAATTGGGTAGGCTCAGGTTTACGAATTCAACTGGGTACATTTTTTTTATAAAGGAAGAGTATTATCATTACATTGGAAAATTGTATAATTAAATTGAAAAATTGCAGGATTCAAAATAAATATTGCAGGTGGTAACAAGGGCAAAGAGTTCACAAGATTCCGATATCATAAAAAATATAATAATGAAACTAATAATAATGATGAATATCATCGTAATAATGCTGGAACATAATAATAATGCTCTAATAATAGCAGAATTATAATAATATAATAATAATAATAAATTAATAATAATAATAATAATAATAATAAAATAATAATAAAATAAAATAATAATAATAATAATAACAAATAACAAAATAATAATAATAATGAAATAATAAATAATAATAACAACATAGATAAGATAATAATAGCAACAATAACAACAATAAATTTAAAAACAAACAAGAAATGAAATATTAATGTATAAAACCGCTATTCCAAATTTGGTACATAATGGCCAATACGTTCAAGTAAATTTCTAGCCAAACTGTGATTTCTCTATATTCATCTCCAGTAATGATGCCGAATTCCCCTCTCAGAATGAAGGAAAAGCAGAGAGAGGTGATTACTGAATGAGAGGGAGAGAAAGAAATGAGAGGATTGAACAGTGAATTAGAGAGAGAGAGAGAAAAAGAGAAAGAGAGAGAAAGAGAGAAAGAGAAAAAGAGAAAAGAGAAAAAGGGAAATAGAAAAAGAGAAAAAGAGAAAAAAGGGAAATGAGAAAAAGAGAAAAAGAAAAGAGAAAAAGAAAAAGAGAAAAAGAGAAAAAAGAGAAAAAAGAAAAGAGAAGAGAAAGAGAGAAAAGAGAAAAGAAGAGAGAAAAAGAGAAAAAGAGAAAAAGAGAAAAGAAGAAAGAGAAAAAGAGAAAGAGAAAAAGAAAGAGAAAGAGAAAGAGAAAGAGAAAGAGAAAGAGAAAGAGAAAGAGAAAGAGAAAGAGAAAGAGAAGAGAAGAGAAAGAGAAAAGAGAAAGAGAAAGAGAAAGAGAAAGAGAAAGAGAAAGAGAAAGAGAGAGAGAGAGAAAGAGAGAGAGAGAGAAGAGAGAGAGAGAGAGAGAGAGAGAGAGAGAGAGAGAGAGAGAGAGAGAGAACACAAGACAGAGAGAGAGAGAGAAGAGAAATGAAAGACAAAAAAAAATAATAATAAAAAATAATTGAGAATATTGTAGAAGTTTGCTAAAAGGAGGAGCTAGCAACAGACATAGGCAAAGTATTCTGCGAAATCATGAGTGCTTTGCATAAAACTAACATTTGTGGCAGCAACATTCTAAGAGCGGATGTCATCAAAACTACTCATCATTTTCATATCAATAGTTGATTAATTTCAAAAGAATGAGTTTTGAAAAAAAAAATAAATAAATAAAAAAAAAAAAATAAAAAAAATAAATAAAAATGAATACAAAATAATAATACATAATGATAAAAATACATTTGACCAGTACATTACCTTGAGGCTTTCCAAACAGTCAATGTGTAAAAATATGCTCAAGTTTTCACCAGTTAAATCATTCCTTTTTATTCTCCATTTATTCTTTACCATATTATGTTTTAACTATATTCCTTTTATTTACTGGAAATGAAGATGTACTTTACAACAGGGGATAAATAACAGGTTAATTAGAGGGTGAAGATAATTATGTTATAACTGATAGGTTGGAATACCAATTATCTTAGGAGTAACAGGTTGATGATAAAAATTAATTAAAATAAAAATTTTATTCAAACAAATTGCATCTATTCACTCATTGGCAACCTGTCAAATGTATCCTTGCCTTAATAAAGATATAATAAACATAATTATTTCTTCACCACACTAAATATTTTATTTCTCGACTCTATATGTAGTATAAAGCAATGAAAAATGTATTTAATAATTTCCTAAAATCCACCCACAATGTCAAAAAACAAAGGTTATCAAAACAAGACACTTAAAGAGATTTTCATATTTTTAATGAAATATAAAAATGTACAAAAGTTTTATAGAAATATGAAGATAATTTATATCCACAAGTGTATAAAAATATGAAAAAATTAAATGTATGTACGTTTTATCTAGACATTAGTCATGGATTGAAGAAGAGAACAGAAAAGAATAAAATAAAACAAATAAAAAAAAAACAAAGCAAAATAAAAAGAGGGCAAAAGATGAATAAAAAAATGCGAGGACAGAAACACACAAGAAAATATATATATAAGGGATTAGGCAATCTACATATGTACAATCAATGTGTTCCGACATCTATCAGCAAAACCTCAACATTATCCTGAAGAGTAAAATAATATACATTTTTTTTCTACATGTCAAACAGATCTAAATGAAATGCATCGAATGATAATGGGCAAAATAAATAATTTGAAATTGATCTGCATGCTAAATTCACAAGACCAACCTATTTCCTCTAGTTCTTCAGGAAAATGTTAGAGAGACCTAGGATTTATTTCTTATCATTACCTCTTAGCTAATGTCTAACTAACCTATCAAAATAAAGACCATATTAAAAACTCGGTAAAAAGTGTTTTTTCTTTTTTCTGCTTCTTTTTTAGCCTTTCAACTAAATGTACCTAACTTTGCATTCAAAGTTTTTTAACCGTGTCTCGGAATTAAAACAAAAGATAAAGAAAAAGGTGACCTCAATCATGTCAAAAACTAATACAAGATAATATGTTGACACACACACACAAGCTACTGTGTCTTGCATTCGTCGGATCTGGCGGCAGGTTGAGGAGGCTTTCCTCGAAGGCCGATGCTGGCACGGGTCATGCGTCTCTCACTGGGTCTGATTGGGCTGTTTGTGCTCAATGATTTCAGGGGGCCACCCACCTATGAAGGAGAAAACCAACAGTTAATACCTATCTTAAAATCCTTTCTAGTTAAATGTCTATTTTACCAACTTGGGAGCTTCATTTCAACAACTTTAGACTGATAATATGACTTGCTTTTTCTCTTTTCAATCAAGAATTAGACTATAATGTGTAACACCTGATATTTTACAGACCTGTGACTTGTCATTAGAATCGTACTTCTTGACCAGAGTAGTTGATCTTCTCATCACCCCTGGGCTCTCTGCACCGGAAGGAAGGTCATTCAGACCTGGGTAAAAAGAAAAAAAGGTTGAAAAGGATTACGATTAAGCATGCAAAAATAATAAGCTTTATTATCCAAGGACTGTGACCATCCGTATTTCATTTCAGTGATGCATTCATTCCCTTTAAAACTAATCTATCCCATACTCATGCAGAGCTTTGTTAACTCTTGCTCTATCTTGTCCATTTATTCATTTAAATGCGGATCAAACCACAAAATCACACTTTACATTTCCTAGCCTTCTGGTTCATTAAGCTTGAAAAACCATCTTACTCTCATTTTCATTACATTTCACTATACATCAACACCAATCCTCTTTCTACTTCTTACCTTGCTTTACTTTTGATGGAAGGCCTTCAACAGCGGCCTCAGGAGATTCTGGGATAACAGTGGATTTGCGCTTGCGTTTCTCCTGGCTCATGGAGGTCGATGCGCAAACTCGCTTCAAGGCACGCTTCATTTCATCATCATCTGCAACCAAGGACTTCCTCCCCTGAGACTGAAGCACCTCTGGAAGAGAATTTTCATCGACAGTCTGAATGAGTGAACGGCGGGTCCTCACTCCAGACGGCTGCTGGCTCTTGTTAGCAGGAGGTATCTTCATAGTCGATGCCATGCGTGTTACTGCTCTTGATTTCACTTGGGGCATGTCCGACAATCTCGGTTCCTGGGTCTGCGAGCTTCCTATGACTTCAGGACTCTCCAGCGCCTCAGACCTTTGGGTGACCTGCATGGGATTGGCCAGCTGAGGGGATGACTTGGCTGGCTTCAAAACAGACTTCTGGAGGTCCTGGGCCTTATCTTGGCTCTGTTCTGCCTTCAACTTTTTGATCTGTGCTTGCAGAAGCTTAACCTTGGATTTCATGTTGTCGTTAGCTTCTTCTAGGTCGTGCATTTTTTTCAACACCTGAAAAAGCATTGAAATATAAATGTAAGCAATAATGACAGACTGTATTATAATGTTACAACCATCTTCCTCCAGGATATACATGCCCTGTGCTTTGTAAATACTTTTTTATACAATGGTCATAAGAAGCAATCACAAAGTTCTAAACAAAAGTACTCAATCGTATTCTAACGACAACTGGACTGACCTCAATCTGCTGGCTTGCCTGTTGTTCTGCTTCCCCATTCTTTTCATTAAAACGTTTCTGCCAGTGTTCCACCTCTTGCTTGGTCTCCTCCAAGTTTTTACGGCACTGTGTTGCATCTGTGTCTGTTTCTTTCACCTGCATTAAAAGGCATTGAGCTCTATTAGCAAGCAGTGAGCCAAAGAAGACTGCAGAAAATGTCTTCCAAAATCATATGCATGTCTTTCTGTATTCATTATTGGATTTTTATTAAAAAAAGAAAGAAAATTTTCTTTTCTTTCACTAAAGGACAAAAATGGTGCAACATAATCAAATTTCGTCAAACATAAACCAGGAATATGCATAACAAATAAATTGACCATATCTCTGTTATGTCACCTTTTCCTTCAGCTGTTCCACTTCCTCTTCCAGCTGTTCCACATGCTTCATGCACTCCTTCAGTTCACTCTCCTTCTTCCTGCCGATGTTCTGGACGAGGGAGAACTTGGCGCGGAGTGAGTCGAGGTCTGTGCGGGATTCCTTGACCAGAACCCCCAACTCTTCAATCTGAGGGTTAGAAAGAGAGGCCATGTGATTCATATAATGCCAAACATATTCTTGTGTGTGCAGGTGCAAATGCAAATACAGAAATACTTGAAATATACAAGAGCTATGACAATAATAACAATAATAATTGTCATAATAATAAGAATAACATAACAATCATTTAAAAAATTCCTGGATCTGGATCAACACCAGAATTTCATTGCATCTAAGTTGGGCTAAGACACCACTGGTAAAAAATTCATAAAGATCTGTTATAACTTTTTGAGTTATTCTGCTAACCAATGAAAAAACAAATCAGTGCTACCAAAAACACAACCACTGTGTCAGAGCTAATTATACCACCAAACACAATTTATGCACATGCTCCAGAATATCAAATATGACTTACAAATGCCCCACATTAGCTTACAAAGTATGAAACTTTTCAGATACAAAAAATCAGATCTGCCAAAATAAACTGATTAAAACATACCATCTCTTAAAAAGAAAAATCATTGCATCCAGAATAACAAACAAACCAACAAAACACAAACAACCACATATTTATTTAAAAGTGGGAGCTAAATCTACCTTGGCTTCTTTTGATGTCACAGACTTCTCTAACTTTTCAGCAGATGCTGCTTTATCCTTGAGCTGTGACACCTCTACCTGTAGGGCTGCTTTATCCACCATCAGGCTTGTTGTCTGCAAAGGCAAGAGAGGAAAGAAACACATTAAAATAGATTCTCAACCCATCCTCATAACTTTACAAAATTTAAAAAGCTGAAGACAATGCAACCATGTATTGAATTATAAGTACTGCCCAAACTAGGTGACTATAATGTACAAACCTCTGACAGCTTGTTAGTGAGGTTGTCCTTAGCAACCTGAAGCTCCTCATTTGCAGTTTGCACTTCATCTTGCAGCCTGACAACCTCCTTGTTAAGTGAGGCTTCCTCCTGCTGCTGTCGTCGTCGTTCTCTCGTCTCTGTCCTAACTGTTGCTTCAGTTCTGCCAGGTTGTTCTGCAAAGTTGCAATGGTCTCCTTCTGGGATGCAATTTCTTGCTTGGATGCAGTAATCTCTCCCTCCGCATCAGCAAGGCGAGATTTTGCAGCCTCTAGTTCTGACATCACATCAGTCTTCTCCTTTGACAAGTTTTCCTCACGTGACTGAAGATTTTCATAATCTTGCTTCAGTTGCTCCTTCTCTTTCACGAGTTGTTCCTTCCCTGTTGCCCATTCCTCTTTTTCTGATCTTAATAATTCTACATCTGTGCTCAGCTTCTCCTTTTCTTTCTGTTGTTCTTCATTTTTGTTCCTCAGTTCCTCATTCTCCAACAGCAGTGTTTCCTTGAGTGATGTCACCTGCTTGAGCTCTACAGTTAGCTCTTCAATGTCCATGCTGCTCTGTTCAGCTAAGGTAGCCAACTTTTGCTTTTCAATTACGATCTTTTCATTCTCTAACTTCAGACTCTCGACTTGTGACTGTTCCTGTTCCTTCTGCGAAACAAAGGAGTCAATTTGACTCTGCAGGCTTTCCCTTTCCTCCTCAGTTTCCTTGCTTTTTTCTTCCAGCAATGCTCGGTCTGATAACATCTGCTGCTTCTCTAGAGACAGCTTTTCATTTTCTTGATGTAGATTGTCCTTGTCAGATGCCAAGTCATCCTTTTCCTTCATAACAGCTTCATATTTGGACTGAAGCTGTTCCTTTTCAGAAAGTACTTGTTCCTTTTCAAGAACAACTGAATCCTTCTCTGACTGCAGTTCTTCATACTCCTTCAAGCACTTTTCTTTTTCTGCCACAGTTGTCTCCAGCTTTGCAACCAGCTCCTGCATTTTACTGGCAAGTTCATCTCGCTCAGATGAAGCACCTTGTAGTTGTTCAGAAAGCTTGTTATTTTCCTCTTCCATTTTTTCAATTTGCTTGATATATTCCTGACATTCTGTCTGGTGCTGATTTACTACATCCTCCAAATTCTTCATTGTGTCTGTCAAGGACTTCTTATCATTTTCTATTTCCTCTCTTTCTTTTGTACTATCTTCATGCAGCTTTTTAAGCTCATCATATTTCTTTTCCAGCATTTCATTTTCAGTCTGGAGGTTTTCATATTTTTCTCTTAACTTCAACAGTTCCTCTGCATCCTCTTGACTCTGGTTCCTCTCCTGTATTGACCCCTTGAGCTCCTGGTTCTCCAAAAGCAGTGATTCGTTCTGCAGCACCAGTTCAGTGTTACGAGCAATCAACTCTTTGTTGCCAGAGACAGCCTCATCCAGCCGCTGTGACATGGTCAAGCCCTGAGTATCCAGGTCCTGTTTCTCCATCATGAGGTCATCCAGCTGCAGTATCATTTCTTCCTCCTTCTTGGTCAGGGTCTCGTTGTCTGAGGTGAGAACGTCATTGCGGCAGACTAACTCATTGATCTGGGTACTCAGGTCCTCGATGGTGCCAGCCAGTTCCTCATTGCGGCTGATGAGGAGGTCGTTCTTAGTGGTCAGCTCATCGTTCTTGGAGCTCAGCTCCTCATTCAGGAAAGCAAGCTCTTCACTCTTTTTATGGCTGTCTTCTAGTTCCTGTAATCTGTTCCTATTGTCTGCTACCTCTTGAAGTTCTTTTTGCAGGGTGCTATATTTTTCCTTCAGGTTATTATGCTCCTCTTGCAGTCTGCATCACAAGGTAATGTAAAGTATTAGAAAATAAAGCTAAAAACATAAGTGATCTTTACAATATTATTATTCATCTTTCAGAAAGAAAAAGAAAGAAACAAAGAAGAAAAAAGGGGCTGAAAAGAGGTAAGTACCCTCTGTTAATTATACATCATCTGGGAGTTAAGATTTCAATACCTGTTATTATAACTGAAGAAGAATGGGAAAAAAAGACAGATACTATGTACATACCTGGCAATCACTTCATTCAAAGAAGCAATAGTATCTGCTTGTGAGTCTGCGAATGTCTCAACTGTTGAGGAACTACGCAGCTGCTCCAGTTCTTCCTTCATGCGTTCTTTGCCTTCACTAGCTGACTTCATTTCAGCTTCCAGCAGATTCACCTGGGGTTAATTGCACACACGCACATAAATTTCAAGGAATATATTAAACAAGACATTTTTTTTAATGTTGCCCTTAGAAAAATTCAACACACTAGACAAGTAATCAGAAGCAAACTTTTACTTTGATGACAACCGCCACTGAACAAATCACACAATACCAGGCAAATCTTGTTCTGCAGCCTTCCCTCACACTCCCTACCCCTACTAACTCTTCCCTCAGCCAAGCCTTACCTTGTCTTCCAGTTCCTGAGCCATGTCCTGGTACAGCTTATTTTGCTCCTGAGTCTTCCTGAGGTCGAACATTGCCTGCTTGAGCTGGTCTTGTGACTCTTGCACTTCACACTTCAGGCCATTCAGCTCATCTTGAGAGACCTGAGGAGAGAAGCCAATTATCATCACTTTTTTCTACTGTTACCGTTAAGCAATACTTTACAAACAGAAAAGCAGTACATACTGTGAGTTGTCCTCTGGCAAGGTTCAACTCCGTCTGCAGAGCTGCAATATCCACCAGGGAGTTGTCTTTCCTAGGCGACTCACTAGTCACTGGCAGGTCTCTCTAATGTAGGAGAAAATACGACTTGAACTCCAAAAGTATAAAAACAAACATTCAAAAAATGAAACTGTACATCCTAGATTATATATAGAAACACACAGAGCTGGCTGCAAATGTGAAAAACCCTTACCTGTAAACTCTTCAATTTAGCCATCTCTTGGCTCAAGTGCGATAGTTCTTCTTCCTTGGCTGCAAGGCTAGTCTGCAAGCAAGCAATCTGGTCTTTGAGGACAGCCATTTCGTTCTCCCTCTCCTCTGCCTCCCTGTTGTTATCACTCGTTCTGTTGCATCTCAGCTCCTCCAACTCTTCTGTTGTTATGTTGAGATGCTGCTGGAGCTCCAATATAGTCTGCTCAGCCTTCTTCAGCTCTTCTTCTGTTGTCTGGAGCTGCTCCTGAGAATAATTTGTTTTTACCTTCTCTTCACTGGCATCCTTCAGCTGTGCTTTTAGCTGCTGCTCCTTCATCCTAAGATTCTGCACCTGAGAGTGAAGCTTCTGGTTGCTGGCTTCCACAGAGTTCAGACGTCTGATGAGATCAGAGTTCTCCTTCTGAAACAAGAGAGCCAAGTTCCTAATCAGATATATCCTTTATATAAAATGGACATATACAAAAATTGTAAAATTCAAATCTATACAGGAGAATGCATCATGCACACACACACATACACACATACACACACACACACACACACACATACATACATACACACATACACATACACACAACTTTGTGATACTTTACCTTCATCATTTCATCTGAGGTTGTATCATCTCGCTGCTGCTGCATCATGACAATCACATCCCTGTAATTCTCGTAGTCACTTTGGATGGCTTCTGCTCTCTTTCTCTCCACTTCCCACTTGTTTGTCATCTGCAGTAAATAAAACACAATGTTAGCAACCACTGAGGAGTGGCATAAACAGCACACATGTTCATCTAGCAAAATTCCACACCTAAAAAATGTGTATCTTTAGAATGATGCATAAAATCACTCACCTGTCTCAGATTCTCTTCTAGATAATTGACTTCCTTTGCCAGAGTGGCTTGAGAGTCGCACTGTCCCGCCAGGTCTGCTTGAGTAGATGAAAGTAGTGCTTCCAATACTGCTATCCGCGCGTCAAGGGCTTTGCGAATTTCCTTGACATGAGTCTCTGCTTGCTTAGCGATTGCGGTCTGCCTAGCCGATTCTTGCTTCTCAGCAAGTAGCAGCTCTTCCAGTTCATTTATATCAACGTTGTTCTGAGATGATGGAATGGATAATGCTTATTATTTTAGTGGGAAAAATTTAGCAATTAATGACATTCGCATGGTGTCTAAACTATTGGCAATGTTACATACCATATCCAAGATCTAGCAGATTAAAAGGTAAAGAACACAAACCTTAATGCATTCCTGCTCAAGCTTCAGCACTTTTTCCCTCCACCCTTCGCTCTCAATGCACTTTTCTTCATACATTACTCTATCAATGTAATTCTTCTTGGTGGTTTCCAGAGTCCTCATTGCATTCTCTAGTAACTCTCGCTGTTCATTGCTCTGCAAAGAGAGGGTCTGGCGTTCCTCTAGCCTGTGAAGAGAGATTTAAATTCATTAGTTTACACTGTTGATTTCTGCCATTTTTGGTTCATTATTCTGAAAAAAAGGTTAAAAAAGCAGTAAGAAAATACCTCTCCATAAACCACTAAATTTTAAAATTTCACCCTCGTGAGACTAGAAAAGAAATAAACTTACGCTGCATCCAGTTTCTTAGCCAATTCTTCCATGTCACTTTCCTTGGTTTGTATTTCACTCTTCAGCCTTACAATTTCCTCATTCAGGTTGGCAATGGCTGCTTCAGCACCAGAGGCTTCCTTCTGCAACTTTTCCTCCAGCTGTTGTTGTGCTGCTTGTAGTTCCATGCATTCGTGACTCTTGGCCTCCAGAGACGAGCTCAGTTCCTGCTTGACAGATTCAACACTTTCTTGGCTCAGCTGCAAGTTCTCCAACTGGTCCCTAGAAAGAAGGAAAAAAGAGGTGTTAACATGCTTAAAACAGATATTCCCGTACACTACACTGAATTTCAATATTCTACTTAACTCGGCCTCATCTAAATGACTAGGTAAATTGAGTCTCTTTGCAAACTTCTGTTAAACCATGTCACTAGCTTCAGACTTACGTTAAGCTTTTATTGGTAGTATTCATCTGCTCAATTTCTGCTGCCAGCAATGCCTTCTCCTCCTTGAGTGCGGACAGGGAAGTTTGAAGGGTATCCAGTTCGGCCTTCCATTCTTCCTTCTGGACCTCCAACTGGGAGACGGCCTCCTTTAGGCAATTCATGGAGGTCTGCTGGGATTCCACCTCCTTCTCATAGGCTGCCTTAGCTTCTCTCAGCGCTGCTGCTTGCTCCTCAACCTCGCGAAGGCTCTTTGCAACTTTTTCAATCTCTTGCACCTTTTCACTATATCTTGCCCTCTCAGCATCTAAGAGTCCTTGATGCTCATGGAGGGAGGTGAGGGTGGCTTCCTTCTCCTTTGTGATCACTTCAATATTACTCTTCAGGGACTCCATCTCATTTAGTTTCTGCTCAAGTTCTTGGCTTAGTGTGGCAAGTTGGGATGAGGTAGCCTCACTTTCTTCCTTCATCTGTGACAGCTGGCTCTGCACAGCCTCAACCTTATATTCTGCCTCATCAGAAATATTTTCAAGGTCCATCTCTAACTGACTCATCTTCTGAGAACTTATAATTGCTTCCTCTTCCAGCTTTTCTATACGAGCATTTGCCTCCTCTACTCTCTCACTGGCACTCTGGAGCTGCTCTTGCAGTGCCTGAGCCTCTGCCTGCTTCAGTTCAATTTCCTCTTCCTTCTTCTCCAGGGTCTTAATGATGGCCTCACACCTGTCCACAGCCTCCTTTGACTTGTTCTCCAGTGCCTCCTTTGTTGCTTCCAAGTCCTTCACATGAGCAGTGGTTTTCTGCATCTCCTCTTCCAACCTGTTAATGTTTTGGGTTTGGGTCTCTAAAGTGCTACTGATGTTTTGAAGCTCTTCAACCTTGCCCTGGAGAGCATCCTTTAGTTGTTCAATGTCTTCTTCTGCCTTTTCAATCTGTTCTACTTTAATATCCTTTTCCTTTGTTAACTCCTCAAGGCTGGTCATCAACTCCTGCTGTTGCTGTGACAGCTGCATCTTCTCCTGAACCAAACTCTCCACTTTGGTCTCAAAGCTAACACTGAGTTGGGTGACCTGGGACTGAAGAATCTCTACATGACCCTTCAGTGTGCTGCTGTGCTCCTCAGCCAGGGTTAGGGCCTCCTGGAGATGCAACATCTCTTCTTGCTTCTCCTTCCTGAACTTCTCACTCTCCTCCTCCAGTTCACTCTTTTCTTCTTCTATCTTTTCCAGCTGATCCTTCAGGCCTGAAACTTCTTCATCTTTTCCTTCTAATGCCTGTCTATTTTCCTCAATGGTGGTTTGGAATTCTGAAATCTTCTCCTCATGAACTTTCTCCATATCCTCTAACTTGCACTGCAGATGATCCTTCTGTTCTTTTGTATCATGAAGCTCAGCCTCTAGTTCCTGCTGTCTCTCTTCTAAGGCCAGAATTTTTTCCTTCTGCTCCTCTGCTGCTACTCCAGCCTCCTCAAGTTTCTTCAGCACTTCAGATCTCTCTTCCTCCTCGGTTTTGAGACGAGATGAGAGATCCTGAACTTCCTTCTGTTCTTTCTCCAGGGCTTCTTGCATTTCTTCAAGGGACTTTGTCAACAGACCCAACTTCTCTGCCTGTTCCCTGCTTGCCTCTTCTGCTTCCGATGCGATCTTCTCCCTCTCTGTGGCTGCCTCCTCCAGGGACTTTTTGAGGTCCCTGACACTGCCCTCCAGACCCTCAATGATCTTTTCTTTGTCTTGTAATGTGGAAGTCAGAGTCTGGATTGTGTCGTCCTTGCTCTTCACCAAATCATCATGGTGTTTCTCCAGAGTGGCCTTCTCTTGCTGCAGACTTTCCATCTGCAATAATTCATTTAGCTTTTATCCCAAACTTTAGTACAAAACAAATATTACCATAATTTTCAAACAGTTTTCTTCAAAACAAGCTTAAAAAAAGAAACAGCAAATAATTAAAAACTATTGCATACTATAATCTAAACTTCATTCAGTGTAATTTCCTCAACAGTAAACAAAACAAAAATAAAATGGATGCAGAAGTAAAAGGAAAAGAAGATGAAGAAGAAGAGAAGAAGGTAAAAAGAAAAGGGAGGGGGGGAAGTAGTAATAATAGTAGTGTACCTGAACATTAAGAACATCAGCCTTTTGCTGTGCCTGCGCAGCTGCATCCTTGAAGGAATCTATCGTTCCCTCAATCTCCCAAACAGACAACTCGGCTGCCAACTTCTCTCCCCGTGCTTTTTCCTCCTTTTCCTGGGCTTCTTTCTTGGCTTCCTCAGCTGCTTTCACCTTGGCCTCGGCTTCACTGACCTAGAGACAAGGAATGCGTTCAGTCTCAGTGCTGACAAAACTACTCTTTCACAACATACTCAGATTGAATATCTTGATTACTTTAAAGAACTAAAATGACACCTTCAACACACCTGCTCCTTCATCTGATCCAGTTGCATCTGAGTTTCTTTCTCCTTCTGGGCAATGCTGTCAGCTGTTTCTTGTTTGCACTTGTTGACAGTTTCACCTGCCTCTTCCTTTGCCTTGTTTATGTCTTTTTCTGCTTCTGTTTTGGCTTTCTGCACCTGTTAGTTGGACACAAATGATATGTATAAATGTGATATAATATACATACACACAGACATATATGATGACACACACTCACACATATATACAAATAAGGTATTCTAATATAAATAGACCAATATATTTTACACAACAAAAATTCATCTCAGCATAAGGACTATAATACACCAAACTTTAAAATACAACAGTTAGCTATGATGACAGAGAAACTAAAGAAAAAACTTTGTACCATATTTTCTGCTTCTTCCTTTATTTTCTTGATCTCTGCTGCCGCCTCTGCCTTAGTAGTCTCTACAGTGTTAGTCGTTTCTGATTTCACTGCTTCCATCGCTGCATTTGTTTCGGCAACCTTCTTCTTCATTTCTTCAACCTCGGCCTCCATAGCGTTGATACCTGTATGAACATATATTGTATACATTCTTATTTCCCTTACATGTATGAAATCATGTTGGCGCAAGTTCAGCAAAGCCATGCATTAATACCGCGCATTATGATAACGAACCTGCCAGCTTATTGTCGCAGGCTTCCTTCGTGGTCTGGATGGTAGCCTGAGCTTCGTCCCTCTCAGTCTTCAGCGTCTTGTTCAGTGCCTGCTGTTCGTTCACTTCCTGGGTCAGTCTGCTAATGTTGTTTTCGGCGTCCTTTTTGGCCTGTGGCAGAAATAAAAGCAAAAATATAAATAAAGATAGCCAACAGATATCTTACTTTACATAGAAAGATACTCCTGTCTCTAACACTGTATTTTTACCACAGCCTTATTTTTGTGTCATCTTTCTCCATGACTGACAAGACTTAAATACAGCTTTGGACCAAATAATAATGTAATATTTATGATACAATATTTAAAAAACACAATTAGATATGAAAAATAATAGTAAGCTTACACTAATGGGAGAGAGGGGAGAGATAGAGAGGAGAGAGGGAGAGAGAGAGAGAGGAGAGGAGAGAGAGGAGAGAGGAGAGAGAGAGAGAGAGAGAGAGAGAGAGAGAGAGAGAGAGAGAGAGAGGAGAGGAGAGAGAGAGAGGAGAGAGAGAGGAGAGAGAGGAGAGGAGAGGAGAGGAGAGGGAGAGAGGGAGAGGGAGAGAGGAGAGGAGAGAGAGAGAGGAGAGAAGAGAGAGGAGAGAGGAGAGGAGAGGAGAGGAGGGAGGGGAGAGGAGAGGGAGAGGGAGAGGGAGAGGGAGAGGAGAGAGGGAGATAGAGAGAGAGAGAGAGAGAGAGAGAGAGAGAGAGAGAGAGAGAGAGAGAGAGAGAGAGAGAGAGAGAGAGAGAGAGAGAAGAGAGAGAGAGAGAGAGAGAGAGAGAGAGAGAGAGAGAGAGAGAGAGAAGAGAGAGAAGAGAAGAGAAAGAGAGAGAAAGAGAGAGGAGAGAGAGAAGAAAGAGAGAAAAGAGAGAGAGAGAGAGAGAGAGAGAGAGAGAGAGAGAAAGAGAAAGAGAGAGGAGAAAGAGGAGAGAAAAGAGAGAGAGAGAAAGAGAGAAGAGAGAGAAAGAGAAAGAGAAAGAGGAGAAGAGGAGGAAGAGAAGAGAAAGAGAAAGAGAGAAGAGAGAGAAAGAGAGAAAGAGAAAGAGAGAGAAAGAGAAAGAAGAAAAGAGAGAAAGAGAAAGAGAAGAGAAAGAGAAAGAGAGAGAAAGAGAGAGAGAGAGAAAGAGAAAGATGAGAGAAAAGAGAGAAAGAGAGAGAGAGAAGAGAAGAGAAAGAGAGAGAAGAGAAAGAAAGAGAGAAAGAGAAAGAAAGAGAGAGAGAGAGAGAAAGAGAAAGAGAAAAGAGAGAAGAGAGAAAGAGAAAGAGAGAGAAAGAGAGAAAGAGAGAAAGAGAAAGAAAGAGAGAGAGAAAGAAAGAAAGAAAGAGAAAGAGAAAGAGAAGAGAGAGAGAGAGAGAGAGAGAGAAGAAAGAGAGAGAGAGAAAGAGAGAGAGAGAGAGAGAGAAAGAGAAGAGAAGAAAGAGGAGAAAGAGAAGAGAGAGAAAGAGAAAGAGAGAGAAGAGAAAGAGAGAGAAAGAGAAAGAGAGAGAGCTCACCTACCTTGTCCTTCTCGGACTGCAGCTGCTCCAAGGCCAGCTTCTGACTCTCCACCTGCTGCTCTGCTGCCTCTAATTTATGCGAGGTTTTTTCGAGGGAGGATTCTGAGGCAGTCAACTTCAGCTTGAGGTTGGATACCTGAGATATAATAAAGGTAAATGCTTTCATAGTAAAGAAATATATGAAAATAAATGCTTCTTTTATTAATATACAAACCTACATATGCAAATCTATTTATATTGGTGGGAAAAAATAATAATAATAAAAATTAATAATAATAATAAAAAAATAAATAAAAATAAATAAATAATGCTCAATAATTTTTTTCAATAGTTAACTTACTTGCGAGGAAATCATATCCTTTTCCTGCCGTAGCTGGACAACAGTTTTATTTGTGTCTTCCAAATTTTGCTTCAGTTTCTCAACCTCAGTCTCCAGTTGGTTGCTTCGGCTGACTGCTGTATTACGATCCTTCTCCAGGGTTGCAACCTACAAAAGGCAACCAGAAGACATTGTACAGTACGTCCTACGCGTTCTTACATGAGGAACATGAAGATCAATGCATGTATCGGTATATTCTGAACATTCTTAATCAAAATCATTAGAATGAACTTGTATACATATACCATGCCTTCTAAGTTAATAGTAAATTCTGCAATAATGGCTACTACTTGCAGCCCTATGAATCATACCAGGAAACCAGTCTATTTCTCAAATACTACATGACCGACCTGTGAAGTGGCCTTGTCCAGGGAGGCTTTCAGGGCGTTTTCATTATTACGGGCGTGGGTCTCCTGCTGTTGTAGCTTGGTCTGCAGGTCCTTTACTTGCCGTTCTATGAGAACAAATGTGTTTCACTTATTTATGGTTTAGCTTTGGTTATGTGTAAGATCATCAAATACACATGAAAGTGTAGACATAAACCTAAACAAATAAGAACAGCCACTTTCAAATTTTTTTAGAAAGATAACTGATACCTCATATAATCACAATCATCTTCATTCTAGTGACTGACTAAAATCCAGATAATCCTTCACTGCTACCGACTCTTACCCAAGCCTGCCATATCTGCCTGCATGCGTGTGATGTCAGAGTTCAACTCTCTCTCCCTTTCTTTGGCTTTCTCTTCGAGGTTTTTGCGTGTCGCTTCACTGTTGTGCCTCTGACAGTCCATCTCACTCCTGACTGTGCGCAGCTGGTTTTCTGCTTTCTGAAGCTGTGGGGGATTTAATTATTCATTAATAAATCAGAAACACAAAAATAATAGTCAGCCATATGTGTGAGTTCAAATATGCATGCAATACTAATATCAATAATCAAAAACGTATTCCTATACAACAGCTGACATATAACAAGATAAAACAAAAATCAGTTCCAAGATTTCACCTCAATAAAATTAGATAATTTACCTTTTCATTCAGTTCATCCTTACTGGACTTGAAGGACGCCACTTGTTCATTGAGGCTTGCAATCGTCTTCTCAAGACTACTATTTTCTGACTTGGCTTTGTCCAGGGCAGTTTTTAGAGCTGCGATCTCTGTCTGATACTTTGTGGTGTCGACTGTGCTGGAGGAAGAATTGGCTCGAAGATCTGTTGTGGGAAAGGAGAGCATGAACTTTGTTTTATAAATGAAGAGGTATTTACATAATATTCACATTATCATAATTTTTCAAATAACAGCTTTCATACATAAACATTTCAGGTTCTGGCTATTTGCATATGTTGTCTGTCCCAAATTCAGAACTCATTGAGGGATAATTCATTTTGCACAATTGTTAGAAAATTATTTTTTATAACAGAATATTCTTTTTAGTTAAATTCAAAAGTCAAAATGTTACACTTTAGCATGTGTAGGAAATCTGCAAGACATTCTTAATATCACAGGTATCTGATGATGATGATTAGTTAAAATCATGATTGGCATAGGTACCTGAACAGTTGAAATTTACTTTGTGTCATCACACTGAGACATTCAAAATCCAATAACAAAATTTTAAACTCCTTTATAACACATCTCAACCAAAAAATTATCCAGAGTAGGACCACATCCGGCAATATCATGGCCTTTGCCCTTTACACTTTTGCCGAGGCCAACAAATCTCTGCCACCAAATTCTGGCAAATTAGGGTTTCAACTCATTCCTTACTGCTTGGGAAGTCTATATGCTCTAACCTTGCAGATCATTTGTGATGGAGGTCTGTCTTCAATGTACTCACCTTCAAAATCCTTTTTGTACTGATCGACCATCTTCTCAAGTTGCTTAGTGTACTCATCACCAGCAGCGTTGGACTGAGATGCCACAGGTAATGACGACATTGACAGTTGTTTGCGGGGTGTTTTGAATGGATTACCGTCACTCATTGCAAGGCCTAGAGAGCACAGAAGATATAGTAGTTAAATGTTTGTGTAGGATGAAAATGAGGCAATTTTTTCCCTGTATAACAAGTGATGTTAAATAAAATGAAGCATTTCATAAAAAGAAAAGAAAAGACACACGGTAGATAAAAATAATATCCCAATCCTACAATATCCGCAACAAAGCCTGAAGAAAATATAAAGCAGAATTACAAAGATACTGGAATGAATAAATAAAAAAATTTCAAAGAAAAAGAAAAGAAAAAAAAAAGCACATTGACCTTAGCCTCCCCCCACCATTCTTCCCTGCATAACACCACTCTCAAACCTCACAATGAACGCAAAACCCAAGAGCCCGTAATCCTCACCTGAGCCTTTCTTGTGAGGCGTGACATAGGGAGCCTTGAAGGGGTTCTCGTCGCTCGTCTCGATGGCCTTCTTCATGGGGGTCTTGCTGACAGATGAATGGCCACGCTTGTTCTGTTCCCCAAAGCCACTCCAGAAGTCCTTCTCCTCGTCCGCATTCCCAGAAGAGGAAGAGGAGGAGGAGATGTTGAGACCCTGGGGGAGGTGGGAGAGAGATGGGGGATTAGGAATTGGGGAGTCATGCTTCTCTGTTACTGGAGAAAGGGGGGATCTTCATCCTTACTTTTATAAATGTTTTAAGGCTGAGGAAATAAATGATACCGAAGTGCACGCCCAGTCATGGTAACTTAGATTGACAAATAAATTTTTAAACATAGAGGTGGGGACTTAGTCTCTGGCAGGTAATCCATAATGTAAAGAATCACCAACTAAAATGTATGATCAAATTATAGAAACAAAAGCATATAATAAAACAGCATGAATAAACACACAAACAGATACAAAACAAACACATACCACTCCACTTTCACGCTCAGCCCTTCTATATTGTAAATCCCTATTTTCACACTCCAACTCTTCAATTTTCCTTTTCAGGGCTTCAACTTCTTCGCCTGGAAAACAAAAGAACTACTGTAAATACAAAGATACAATAGCATATTCTTGACCAGATTGTATGCTATGAAAGACACTTCTACAGACCGACTTTTCCATTTCTGAATTGCTACAGTATGTATAAAAATCTCTACATTTTTTTTATTTACTATTTACTATGAAAGCAGACAAAAAGAAATGAAAGAAAAACATGAAAATTACAAACCAGCAAGAAAAAACAGCCACAAGACAATATCAAATAAAGAAATATATAGCCCCATAAAAAATTATATGAAAAACCCACTCGACTGGCCAGAGGACTCCGACAACCCCCCGCTGGTCTGCCTGGGGAGGTGAAGGGCGATGTTGGAGGTGATGTGGTCATGCTGGCCCTTCTGCAACTGCTGCTGGAGACCCTCGCAGCTCCTGGCCAGCTGCTCGATCTCTTTCTCCAGACGCTGCTTCTCCTTGCCCTTGTCCTCATTCTGGTGGAAGGAAGGAGGCAATGAAAAGGGGGGGGAAAGGGAGACGACAGAGAGAGGATGTGAGGATAAGGCATGAGGGAAGGAAAGAAGGAAAGAGGAAGGGGATGGAACAGAAAGAGGATCAAAAAAGGAGATATAAAGAAATAACAGGAAGGACAGAAAGAGAAAAATGAGAGAAGAGAAAACATGTATATTCTATACAAATATTTATGTAATTAATTCACATCAGTGGGGGGGAAAGGTACCAAAGTAACAGTTGATGTATATGCCTCAAAGCAAAAATAGATAAATTCTTAAAATAAAAAAAATAATAGAGAAATAAATAACAGTCATATAACTAAATAGATAAAAAAGGGGGTTAACTTGCCACTCTTTTCTGTTTGTCAAGTGCTTGCTGGAGTGTGTCTATCTGGTTCTGTTTCTGTGTCCTTTCACGCTTCATTCGATCCACCTGAGAAGTAACATGCATTTAGACAAGATGGTTAGACTGCTGCAAATAAAGTTAAATAAAGCAGTTGAAAAAAGGGAAACCAAATGAAAAATTATCCAATATCTGTACCTTATTTCACTGATCTATCACTATAGTCAATAATACACATTTTAACAAATAAGACCTAATGTGAAACTCAAGTACTTACTTACTAGATAACATGTATATTATAAATTTGTTGAAATGCAAGAATAGTGTGTCCTTGTAAAATATAAAGTGGTTCTTATAAATCTATGTAAACATCCTTCTCAAGTGTGACTCCAAGTTGGAAAGATAAGCAAAGGAATATATATTTATTTCTCTATAGAAAACAAGTCATGCAATGCAAGCGTCATTCATTGCTTCCTTAGCACCCTAACATTTCAATAAAATGATGACGAAGATAACAAGCACAATAACACAACTCGAAACCTACCTGATTCTCCAGCTCCTCGACCTTGCTAAGGGCCGAGGAGGTCAGGCCTTGCTTCCACTCCGAGGCTGACCCAAACCAACTCATGGTCGCCTCACCTTCCTCTCATTCCAACCTGTAAACTGAAATTAGAGGTCGGAGAATTATGCTATATCCCATGCATTGGACATACTTGTAGGAAAGTATAACGCCACGCAAATAAAATAGAAATAAATAACAATAACAAAGTGGTGGTAGTCAGAGTAGTCTGTGTAGGAACACGAAAGTAACTGACATCTCTTATCGTTCTCCTCACAAAAATCAACCAAATCGCTTGATCGTCTGAAGAGGAATTATGGGGTTGTAACAATTTCCGTTGTACATGAACAAATGAATACTATTATGGCCAATTGTGATTATATTACACACATAACATTACGATAATAAAGAATAATGACTACCACAACTTTGCAAACAATTATCTTATCCTGTACAACTAATTATACACAATCAGTCTGGAATATCAAACTAAAAGGTTATAGACCTCTTAATATACATAATCCACAATCCAAAACCTTTCTATAACTCACAATATCATATAACTATATAAAAACGCATGTTCTTCCCTACAGTCAAGTATATCATGTCAAAGAATTCATTATAAGCAATATACCGATATAACTGACATACACTGTAAGGGTTAATTTAACCCGTTAAATCTTTTCTACGAGAGTTAAAGTTTCGAGTCACAAATACCACAAATAAGACGTGTTTCCTGTATGATTTCTAGTTCATATTATCGTCATTTTCTTTTTCAAATTCGATAAAAAACGTAGACCAAAACAAACCACATAGGCCTACAAGTTCAAAAAAATTCGATATTTCGAACTCCACGAGATGAATTTTCGGATAAATTCCACACACTACACTCGGGTAATAATTCACAATCGGGAAAGGGAGAGAAATCGTCATAAAAACAGACCAGAGGGGAGAAAATCGGATAAATACGTCGGAATTCCAGCTGCGACGTCGGTTACGGGAAGTTTAAATCGCCGCCACACGATTTTAAATGACAGAGCAAAACAATGGCTATTTTCACTCCTTTGCCGCCTTTATCACGCGTTCTTTCCTTTCCCCGCAGATCCCCGGTGACGAATTTCATCCCCCGACACCGAAGAGGAGAGAAATAGAGCCTCACGTCACGAAATACTCACGAAAAATGTGACAGCTTCCTCTCCGTCTCTCTCTTGCTCGCGCTGTTCGAATTGGAGTGACGTCGGGGCTGCCAACCCAACCGGAGGTGCCATGACATATTTTTCTCTGATTTGTTTATTCATATCTTGAGGTAATTTAGATATTGTTGGTTGTGATGGATAAAATGGATGTGTTTTATTATTTTGGTGTAAGTTTCTTGGGTTGAGGGACTTGTTTAGGAAAATAAGTTGACGTTATGACAGATGCTGGAGGTTGGCAATCCTGTTTTACGCATCCCTACCCCCCAAACATCTTTCATTCTATTTTTATTTCTTTTTTGTTTGTTCGTTTCTTTCTTTGTACATGTCTTAAGCGAAATAAATGTTACTTTATAATGCTATTGCAATAACTTTATGCCGCTCTTCAAGTACGAAATGAACGGAATTTATATCTATCAGAGAGAATTTGTTTTAGATATGAATCACACAATTTACTCAGACGCGCAAGTTTGAATTTTGAAAAGGGGCGAATGAATAAAATTGATAAGAACCACGAGGCTGGATTAAGATTAATAATTTTGCTGGGCAGGATTACTCAGCTGGTATCAAAATCGCAAGCAGAGATAAGAGAGGAGAAATGCGAAGTAGGAGACAAGAACGGAATATAAGAGAATGAAGCGTAAGGAGAGAGATGAATCAGATGGTTTTGGGAAGAAGATGAAGAGAGGCGGAGGGGAGTGGTGCAGGTAAGAGCGAAAGAGGAGACGGAGTAGGGAGAAAGGAGAAGAGGAAAGAGGCAGAAAGGAGAAGCGGAAGGAAATAAAGGCAGGAGAAAAAAAAGCAAGAGGGAAAGTGGGAGAGGGAACAGGAATGGAGGAGGAAAGAGGGAAAGGGAGGAAGGGCAGGGATGCTTATGTAACGGGATTTTAGATATTAAAGTGCGAAATGAAGGCCAGTAAGTGGAATGGGCGCTTCTCATCGCTTCTCGTCTCTCTCTATCTAAACTGCATTTCCATCTACTCAGGTTGCTTGTTTTCGAGGGTGGTTAAATTTTTCGATCCTGCTCCTCTTTGAAGAACTCACTCATCCTAGTGACTTCCGAAAAAAACTGAGTTCAATGCATGTCTAAAAGAGAGGCTACATCTCTCACTAACATTTAAAGGGCCGCATCAGAATAAGCATGATTGGTACAAGGTAACATCTCTCACTGTACTCTCATCTGACTCTCTTAAGGAAGACTCTCTGCTGTCATCCGGCATGAAATTGAATCCTGCTGCGGTGCTGCTTCTCATACTGCGTTACTCATAACTCTCTCTCTCGTCTGTCTCGTTCTACTCTGACTCAGAAAAGGATCTCCTCTCTCTCAATGATACCGCATCATCGAAACTGTATCGGGAAGGTCTCTCTCTCTCGACTCTCTACTCTCTAGCTCTCTCTCTCTCTCAATCATCCTCTCTCTCTCTCGCGGTTCACGTGACTCGTTGCTATTCTCTCTACACTGCATCTCTACTGTATATATCCACAACAACATATAACATAAATATATAAAATAGATAGTGCATTTAATGTAAGTAAATACCGAATCCCTAATAATTCATCCCAAAAGCATAATGATTGTATATACGAAGAGCTTGGGCGAAAATGACGAACACTTAAATAAATACGTATAAACAGAGATTCTCTCAATCACCCGTCGATTTCTCAGACGGGCGCGCGTCGACTCCCTCCGGCAGGAAAACCACGAAAACTCCGAGTGTCTATGGAGAGAGCAAAAAGGACCAGGGGCGAAACCGTCGATGAGAGGAAAGTTGAGGAAAGCCTGCAAGGCGAGGAGAGGGAAAGCCCGCTGAAGAAAGCAGCTGAGCGCTTGAAATTTTTCAATGGGGTTATTATTTTATTTTTTTTAAATTATGTGTGACTTGTTTCATTTCGTTTGATTTCTAGTTTATTTGTATCTATCTTTTTATTATTTTTTATTTCTTGTTTATTAAGTTTACTATTTGGAATGTATAGTGATTTATCTTTTTTTGTTTAGTTAAGAAATAAATACTTACTTGAAAAAAAACATGACATGTTTATTGTGAGGAATAAAGATTCTTATCTTATTATATTCTTCACAATCTTTAGTGTCAACTCTTAAGCTTTGTGTTTATTCAAATTTTCTTTTTTCATTTATCCTTAGTTTGTTTTTATTAATCTTACTCATTCTTCTTCATCCTTCTTATTCTCTTTCTTTCATTTATATAAATCTTTTATTAATTATATTTCATGATTTTCTCATTCTATGGTTTCTCTCACGTCTCTAATAGTCATATTTTTATATGCTTTGACATTTCAGTGTGTACACTCTCTATTCAATCGCATATCTCTATTCATACGTTTATATATATTGATTTAAGCTCCTCTCTAATCCTATTCACTATATGCAGCCTCTCTTATATTTTTCTCGTACTTCGGTGCATCAAAAATCTCTCTCTATCGAGATTTACAATATGAAGTAAATTATAGGTATCTGTAATAATAGTGATTTTCATATTTATATCACCATTTATCATTTTATTAGATTTTAATCATATATCATTATTACTGTGTTATATATATATATATATTATATAATTTATATTATAATTTCAATAATTAAATATTATTAACAAGAATCAATTCATCATTCATCATTCATCATATCAAATATTAATAACTGATCATTATTAAGTTAATTTATGCACTCATATTAATTAAGAAAACTTATCTGTGATATATTCTACTAAATTGAGCAAATTATATATAATTTTAATAAAGCAAGTATATATATTAATGAGTACATTACTATATAGTTAAATATGAGTTATTGCAATGATATATCTAATCATATATATGCTCAAAATGGATACACACCATATATTAGATATCTCCATCAGTTGCATAATGTTATGATTAATGATGTTATTATCATTGAATCAATATCATTATCTTTATCAACACATAATCTGAATTTTTAAATAATATCATCCTAATATCTCACACAATAATAATAATAAGCTATAATATATAACTCACAGGAGAGTTTAAAAAAGAGAGTAAGAAATAACATGAAAAGGGAGGAGGAAGAGGAGTATGAGACGAGAGAAGAGGTATTACAGAGGGATCGGATAACGAGACTAGAAGAGAATAATGAGAATAAGACGAATGGAATTAGAAGTATCCAATAGAAAAAGTATATATCTTAGAGAAGAAAAAGAAGAAAGAGGAAGTGAGGAAGATGAAAAAAAAAGAGTTAAATAAGTAAGACAGACATAAAGCACGAAAAGAGTGAAAGAGACTGTCATTGAAATGCAAATATTTGAAGGAGGAGGGGCATAAAATATAAAACATAAGAGAAATGTGAAGAAATCTGAGAGGAGAGAGAAAAGAGCAAATATATAAAAGTAATAATAATAGAAATTATCCTGATTTAAAATAAAAGATTACTTCGCAAAGGTATGGGATATATTTACCAAAACAACACACCCAAACAATACAACAAGAAAAAAGTTAAAAAAAAGGAAGGATAAAAAAGTAAGAAAAAAGAAATAAAAAGAGCTAGGATCAGAATTAAAAAACGAAAAAATATAAGACACACTCAACACCAAATTCGGCCCAAAAAGGGAGGTAAAAAAAAGAAGATATTGAACGAGTAGGGTAGGAATGCCTTAATGTTCATTGTGGCATAATATGAAGGAGGAGATGCGATTTCGGATTATAGGGGCTATGAAGGCGGCCTGTGTACTCGTGTCCTGCTGGCTTGTAGCTATATTAGAGTAGTAACACATGCGTGGCGTCGAGTAGTGTAAACAAATTAGGGTAGGGCGTTGGCGTTATGCCGCGCTTAATGAAATTCTTCAGTGCATTGCTAACTCGGGAGAGAATTATGAGAACAGGAGTTGAGGGTGACGAAAGATGGTGAGAGGAGGAGGCAAGAAGAGTGGGCGAGGGAGGGAGGAGGAGAGAGGGGTAGGGCGAGAGAAGGGAGGGAGAGGAGGACGAGCGGCACGAGAGAGAGGAGAGAGGGAAGCGGGAGGGATAGATGGGAGAGGCGAGGTGAGCAGCTTGTGGAGGGAGGAGAAGGGGGGGGAAGGAGGAGAGGAGGGGAGGGGGAAGGCCGTCAGTGGGAGGGGAGGGAGAATGGGAGGAGGGAGGGGAAGGAGGAAAGGAGATGGAGGGAAGGGGAGGGAGAAGAAAGTGGGGAGAGAGGGGGCAGGGGAGAGGGAAGGGGATAGGGATGCGCGAGGAGGGAGGGGAGAAGGAGGGGAGGAAGAGGGGAGAGGGAAGATGAGAGGGAAAGGGGGGATGGGGATGGGAGGGGAGGCGAAGGGGGTGGAAGAGGGTGAGGGGGAAGCGGGAGGAGGGAAGGGGAGGAGAAAAGGGTAGGAGGAGGGAAAGGGAGGGGAAGGGGGGAAGGGCGGGGAGTGGGGAATAGGGGGGGAGGGGAGCGGTAAGAAGGGGAGCAGGGGGGAGGAGAGGAAGGGGGAAGGGATGGATGGGGAGGGAGTGGGAGGGTGTGAGGAAGGAAAGGGAGGGGGGGGGAGGGGAGAGGAAGGAAGGGAAGGGCGGATGATGGGCGATGGACGGACGGGGAGAGGGGTGGAGGGGTGGAGGAAGGGGATTGGGAGGGGGGAAGGGGAGGCAGGGGCGAGGGGTTGCATGGAAGGAGGAGGGGGAAGGGGAGAAGGATGATGGGAGTGAGGAAGGGAGAAGGGAGGAATGGGAGGGGAGGGTAGGGAGGGGGAAGGGATGGGGAGAGAGAGGAAGGGAGAAGGGACAGAGAGGAGAGAAGGGGCAAAAGGAGAGAGGTGAGAGGAAGGGATGGCGAGGGGGAGGGGAAAGCAGAGGGGAGATGAGAGGGGGAGGTAGGGTGAGAGAGAAAGAGAAGAGAGAGAGAGGGAAGGGGAGAAGAAGGAGGAAGAGGGAGAAGGAGAGAATGGAGAAGGTGAAAGAGGGAGTTGAGGAGGAGAGGGAAGGAAGGGGAAGGATGGGGGGGAAGAGGGAGGTGAGGTGAGAGGTGAGGGGTAGAGAAGAAGAGGGATGGCGAGGAAGTGGAAGGGAGGGT